GTGCTTTTATGGAATAAGCTACCAGAGGAAGTGGTGGAGCCTGGTACAATTACAACATATAAAAGGCACCTGGATTAATACATGAATAGGAAGGTTTAGCAAGATATGGGCTAAATGCTGGCGAATAGGACTAGATTTATTGAGGATATCTGGTCGGCACGGATGATTTGGACTGAGGGGTCTGTCCCCATACCATACACCTCTATGACTCTGTATACTAAATGGGCTACAACAGTTCAAGAACCACCTATTTGAAAGTCTCCTCAAAAACACATTCTATCTAGAATATGCACAAATATTTCAGTGCTGAAGACTTCGCAGAAGCAAAGATACTCAGCAAAAAGGTAAAATTTAAACAGTGTACAAAGAAAAATGCAAGTTGGCAATGTTTGGTGTTCGTATATAAAGCCAAAAAAAGAGAGAACATAAGTCAAGCTATACGGATAACTGAGTTTCAAGAGTGATATTTTACAATGATAGTTTTATGTGGAATTCAATCAGTTTGGCGAAACTATTTGAGATTTTCATTGCGTGCAATCTAATTACAATGGCCCAGAAAGTATTCAGCTGTGGCCCATTGACATCTAACTGCTAACCCCAGATGAACACCAAGAGTAAGTTTTGTGGGCATCAAATTAATATAGTCACTTACTGCATGCCAGGTACGCAAAATACCAGAAGATATTGGTAAACCTCCCTTAAAGAAGCTCTAAAACAAGCACGTCAATGAAGCTTTTCTGGAATCTTCTCGGTAAAAGCCCGAGCCCAAGTAAATTAATATCTTCCTCTGTCACATTGTCTGAAGGGAATATGACTATCTGCATTCAGATTAAATGCAGCATCAATTGGTTATAGTAGAACTGCTCACCAAGAGGACATGAATTTAAATCTCACCATGTAAAATCCAATTAATTTGATCATTTATGACCCATTGATAAAATCTAAAGAGAACTGCCAGAATGCAATTGCTCTAAGAAGGCTGATGACATTCAAGGATATTTAGACATAGAAAATAAATCCTTAGAGAATCAGCCATTTTTTCTTTCAAACCTGAGGCACTCCTAGTAGTCTGAATGGAGTAATTTTTTTTTTGCCATATCTAAATCAGGTTTTCATCCAGGCTGGGTTTGAGGAATTTAAGAATTAAGCTTGGGGTAGATTCACAGAATTAAATAAGAATGTACGCAGATTGAGACAGCATGCCTTCACTGAGCTGTATCTTGCTTTCTGATCCAAGCCAACTGTTCTGTTATTTCTGCCCTTAACGCCCACATCTCACCTGGGGACTTTCAGTAAATTAATAGAATGTGTAAAATTACCCATCCACAGCAGGGAAGCTCCACAGTTACCTACCACCTCAAACTGACAGAGAATGAGTGCCATCAGTTCATGGCCTTCAACTGTATACCAACTCTGCCATACCATAATCAAATGCTATTTATGAGCGAGTGACTGGATCATGATCTCTATGACAAAGAAATAAATCTCACTGTATTCTGCCTGACTTTATCGAAGAGGTCACTGAGAGATTGCACTGGAGATGTCAAATGGGAGAACAGGTAGATGCTTAGGAAATGTAATGGAAAGAAATGCTTTCTAACAAGAATATATTGGTTGTAGGCAATTAAATGAAGTGATTATTGATTGACAATATTATAAGAAAGATTTTGGATGATTCTACACACAACCAAACACCTGTGATGATTACTGAATGTCTTTCCTAGGCTTTTATTTGAAAAAAAAGACTTCACGCTTGAATTTCTATTGTCGGTCTGAAAAATTGAAAATAATAATTAATTATGCTTAGACTGAGTCACCGTACCTCCGCTGCTCTGTATCTTGCGCCTGATCTAGGGCAACTATTCCCATTACTAAATCTCATCAGGTGAATTTCAGGAAACCATGGAAAGAGTAGGATTATGCACTCTGTGAAGATGTTCCAGTGTCATCTACCTCTACAAGCTGTCAGAGAATAAGTATCAGTTTAAGATCTTTAACTCCCAACTGGATCTGTCATACCAACATCACTTGCTAATAATGAATTTACAAGGGGAAAAGTCATCAACATCAAAGATTGACTCTGTTTCTCTCTTCACAACTGCAGCCTAATCTGCTGAGTATTTCCAGCAATTTTTCTGTTCAATGGGGCATACAGCAACAGGCAGCAATGGTAAGGGAGTGCACTGAGCAGGGGAGTTCAGTAGTTTGAGTGGCCCCTCTGTAGAGAAAAGGGTGTCTTTGGAAGAAAGAGGCCTCATGGAGAAAGGGAGAAAAACAAAGGATTTGCTCAATCAGTTGTGAACTACAGGTTTAATTCCATGTAAACACTCTGCTTTCTGAGTTTTACCATAATTTCACCCTCTTTGTAAAGAGCTGATGCCAGTGGAGTAAGGAATCCCTGTTTCATAATCTTTGGGTTGTCCATGCGCTCAGATCTTGTGTGAAATTTTGATGCCCTCAACAACTGTTAATGTTTCCCACTTACCCAGCCTAACTGTTTATTATTCATCATGTACGTCCACGCTCCCTACACCTTCATCCCACACCAAGATGGCCTGAGGATTTTCTGCTTCTACATTGATTGAACGTCCTACATTTTCCCATCCTCGAACACCACTCTCCTCTGCCTGGCTGAGCTTGTTTTAATAATTCACAATTTCCCCTTTAACTCCAGTCATTTCTTCCAAATGAAATTGTTTGCTAAGAAGCCCCATGTAGATCCTTGCCATGCACATTCTTCTGTGAGATAAGTAGAACATTCTTTGTTCCAGTCCTACACAGGTCCCCTCCCTGGCCTCTTTTTCTGGTACTTCGATAATGTATCAGTGTCCTTTTCTGCCATTATCTCAAACTGGAAAATTGAATCAACTTTGCATCTTAACTTCCACCTTTCCTTGACTTCACATCTCTGATTTTTCTCTTCCCTTTTGCAGCTTCTATCTCCATTTTGCAGATCTCCATTTCTAGGAATGTGCTAATGGCCAATATAAGCCGAGCAACTGCTACAGCTCCTAAACCTTACACTTCTTCCAAATTGTTCTGATGTTTTGATGGGACTCTATTCTATTTCTTATTTTTTCTGTCTCCTGAGCATCTATTGTAATGAAGTCACTTTCCTCATCATTGCTTTCAATAAATCTTCCTTTTTCCTCAGCCAAGGATTTTCCTCCACCATTGTTGATAGGACCCTCAGCCAAATCTGTGCCCCATTCCCCACAGTCCACTCTTTCTCTTCCCTCCCAGTACCATAAGGGAGCTGCCCTAGTCCAAGCCTACACTCCCACTGGCCTGTTCAATGAATTATCCAGTGCCATTTCTGCCACATTCATCACAATGCCACCACCAAACATATCTTCCTCTTTCACCATTCCAATATCCTGATCAATTCCTTAATTGTAGCCAAACATCCCACAGAGCCTCCCCATCGAGCCTTCCTATGCAGTCCCCATCCTTTCTACCATCTGGGGCCACAGATACCAATTGTTCTCAATGGTTTCCCATTACTTGAAATCTCTGCAGACTTCCACTGTCCTTGGCCTCATACAATTTTACAATGTAGCCCAACAGAACAACAATGGAAAAATATCTCCTCTCACAACTTAACACTTTACAACCTTCTGGAATCAATATTAAGTTTGAGGTTTGCTTGTACATATATAATTATAAAATACATTTTTATTATATAATTATTATATAATAAATATTATCATATATTAAAATATTTAAATAATTATATTTAATACATATTTAGTTGACTACATGGGTGTTTATTGGTGATTATTAGTAGTTTAAAAAATATGCACACCAAGACATGTTCCTTTCCAGTTAGACATCTTGTGCTATTGCAGAGGAACTAAGACTTGTCATACAATCTTGGTCAGAGGGGCAGACTTTAAACAATAATTTAGAGATGAAGTTTAACAAACTTAAATGCTTCTAAGGTCCTTGCCTCAGGGACTGCCTATAATGGTGAGTTCCACATTCCAACCTAAGTAATGAAGCTCTTCGCAAATTCTCAAACTCAATGCGTGATAGTTTTATTTCTGGTGCTTTTGGTTCTTCTGCTTATCACCATAAATTTTCTCTTCTAATTTTGACCCCTCTGCCAATGATAATTTCTCTTTACCTACTTTTTCTAAGCCCCTCATGTGTTCCAATGTAATTACCTCAGTGAAATTTTGCACTGTAATTTGGAAGCACTGGTTAAGGAATCAGACAGAAAACTCTATAGACTGAGCAAACATGAGCTGGCTTTGGAGTTCTTGACGACTGTGAAGTGCCTCTATTTCTTAACTTAGATGAGTACATGAACAACTTACATGAATTACTACTCCTTGAGGAAACAAACTGGTGTTTGGTGACCACAGACCTCATTCATTTAGCCAACAAATGAAAGCTTCTTTCAGACTCTCACATTTAAAATTTGAACACTGCTACTTGCAGTCATCTCCAATGGATAATGTTCTGTTGTATGCATGGATCTATGGGAGCAGGTAAGACTACCTGACAAAGATTGTGTCATGGGAAAAATACAACCTACTGTGACAAAAGGAACCAGGGCACAGGCTGTCACCTCAGGGAATCAGTGAATTGGTAAGCGGACACATCTTAGGGTATAAATAGCAAACAAGGGAAGTACGCTACACTGCACTCCAAATATTACTGCTGTGTATGCAGTACAGAGATTACAGCCAACACCAACCAAGATTAAGGTCCAGCCTACATTTTGAATTCAACATTACAAATATGCCATTCTCAACTAATGCAGCATCATGTTAATCCTGAGTGTGAAGCAAATTGTGCTGATTTTTAAATGATTTTCTTTTTCAGACCAAGCACTGGTTCACAGATATTGTAAGTAGCTGTTATGTTAGGCAAGGCAGAAAAGGGACAGGGGAGAATAATGATCACCTGCTGGAAGTTAAGTTTTCAGCTTTGCAGAAAGCAAAAACACACACACACAAAAACATTCACATGGTATGTTGGATCAAGGTACTCACTTCCTGGAAAGCTTTAGTTTCTTCACCTTTTCTTCTGCCTGGTCATCAGTAATGCCTACATGGCAACCCAAAGCCATAAGGGTCCTGCAAAATAAATGCACAGGAATAAGAAAACCCTCAGCTAATATTCTTTTACATGAACAGGAGAACTGATAGGTCCATGCTGGTGCTTATAAATCACATGAACATCTTCCCACTTTCATTCCTTTAACTCCAGAAACATATTCCTCAGTTCCTTTCTCCTCATGTTCAACAAACTTAAATGTTTCTAAGATCCTTGCCTCAGGTACTGGCTATAATGGTGAGTTTCCATTCCAACCTAAGTAATGAAGCTCCTCCCAAATTCTCAGCAACATATGTTTTATCAGCACAAGACACAGTTTAAATTCTTAGACAGCGTATGAAAATTCATGAATTGACCAGTGAAAAGATTGTTCAGACCACTGTACAACTTAACCTGTATATCACTCCATCTCATTGCACTCCCTGCAGTGTAAAGTAACAGAATCAGAGAAAACATATGGCCCGCTGCTTCTCATGTACTTGTGGGGAGATGGTGACAGCGTAGTAATGTCACTGGACTAGTAATCACAAGGCCTTTGCTAATTCTCTGGAGATATGGGATAAAATCCCACCATGACAACTGGTTTAAATTCATGAATAAATTCATAATATGGAGCTACTAGCTGCATTGGTGACCATGACAGTTATCATTTGTGAAAACCCATCCGGGTTCACTAATACCTTTTTGGGAAGGAAATTTGCCATCCTTATGTGGTCTGTACTACATGTGGCTCGAGATCCATGGTGGTAATGGCTTAGGAAGCCGTATATTGCAAGGGAAATTAAGGGTGGGCAACTAATATTGGCCTTACCAGTGTGCAAACATCCCACATAAGAATAAAGAAAAATACCGATTCAAGCTCCATTTCTCAACACAAGTTCAAGCCACAACAGCTCAGCATGCTACAGCTTTCTGGACTCAAAAATGTGTTTGGAAGCAGGACCAGGTGGATCTCATTGACTGTGAGATCCTTGATTGGGGTTGTTAACCTGGGCCAATCAGGGAGGCCTGACTGACAGATATAAACAGGAGATTCAGACAGTCTCCTCACTCTAGCGGCTGGCTTTGAGCTGGCTTGTCAGAGCCCACGTACTGTGCATTCGTAAATAAAAGGTGAGTTGGTGATAGGATACTGAAGTCTGTACAGTTATTTCAGAGTTCAATAAATTTTTGACTGTAATATCCACCTCCATCTTGTTCCATGTGTTTTTGTTTCAAAGGTTTGCTTTTTTTCCACTTTCTGGCATGTTTCTGACTTTATTCTTTCATTTACATTTAGACTCTTCTACGTAGCTAAGCTGTATTCCTTTACAATACCCATTACTACTCTCTTTGGCTTATGCATCCTGAAATATTTTGTTAGCTAATCTCTCACATCTTCCACCTATCCTCGCCTGTCTTTAACCCTTTTGAGTTATTCTTCCTGCTCCTTCCCCTTCTTGACTAAATCAAAAACTAATATTTTTATCTTTTTTTCTCAGTTCCAATGAAAGATAAATAACCTGAAGCATTAAATTTATTTGTCTCCACAGTAATGTCCTGATCAACTAAGTGTTTGTGGAATGTCGTCTATTTAATCTCTCCAACCTGACGAATAATTTCCAGTCACTTTAGTTATTCATAAATTTTAGCAATGCTGTACAAAAAACTGTTTTCCAACAGGTTTGAATTTCTTTCAATATATTTCTAATTAGCACTCAAAATGTTGGATACTGGCCATGGATTTTTGCTGGGTTGTCATCAGTTCTTGATTTTTATGGCCAGTAAAATGAGCACAGTGAGAAGCACAAGGATAGTAAGCATTTACAAGCTGCAATCTGTGGCCACAATGACCAAAGTCCAGCAAAATCTAACTGCAGGAATGTTCCCATGATCTAACAGCCTTAGTGCGGAGTGTGGCTGCCCAAGAAAACAGTAGGCCAATACCCACTCTTGCTTTTCAGTGGAAATTCAGTGATAGTACAAGAAAAATTCATACCAATGTCTGAGCTTCTACTAAAACAAAACAAAAGAACTGCAGATGCTGTAAATCAGGAAACAAAACAGAAATTGCTGGAAAAGCTCAGTAGGTCTGGCAGCATCTGTGAAGGAAAGAAGAGAGTTAACATTTCGGGTCCGGTGACCCTTCCTCAGTCTAAGCTTCTACTACTGGAGTTAACTACATAACCGAGGTTAAAACAAGGATGTGCTTCATAGGCACCTACAAATGGCTATCATATGATAGTGCTAGGAGGCCAATGCAATTTTCAGGATTCTTTTTCACATTTTGAATGGCTAAGCCATTAGTTCTCAACATTAAGACTGCAATTTAAAACTAGTTCTGTTTTTCAAAACCATTGGAAGAATTTGTGCTCCTTTTGGCCTCACAAAAATGAACCCCCCATAATGTCAAATTCACTCTGGCCCTTCTCAAGTGGTAATTTCCAACCTCCTTCCCTCTTAGTGGAACTGGATGGATTGCATCCTGCAGACGATAGATGTGCAGGTCCCTCCAAACTGCGAACTGCTTGAAATGTATAAAAAGTAAAGGTAAAGTTGCTATAGTCTGATCGGATAGGCCTGCTCTCTCATTAGAGAGAGATGACTGGTGGTGGTTTGAAATGTGTACACGGTTTGCCAACCTCACTGATGACATTGGACAGTCAGTAGACTAGACGGGATTGAGGTTCATTAGACTAGATGGGATTGAGATTAATAAGGAGGAGGTGTTAGCAATTCTGGAAGGTGTGAAAATAGATAAGTCCCCTGGGCCGGATGGGATTTATCCTAGGGTTCTCTGGGAAGCTAGAGAGGAGATTGCAGAGCCTTTGGCTTTGATCTTTATGTCGTCATTGTCTACAGGAATAGTGCCAGAAGACTGGAGACTAGCAAATGTTGTCCCCTTGTTCAAGAAGGGGAGTAGAGACAACCCTGGTAATTATAGACCAGTGAGCCTTACTTCGGCTGTGGGTAAAGTGTTGGAAAGGATTATAAGAGATAGGATTTATAATCATCTAGAAGGGAATAATTTGATTAGGGATAGTCAACACGGTTTTGTGAAGGGCAGGTCATGCCTCACAAACCTTATTGAGTTCTTTGAGAAGGTGACCAAACAGGTGGATGAGGGTAAAGCGGTTGATGTGGTGTATATGGATTTCAGTAAAGCGTTTGATAAGGTTCCCCATGGTAGGCTATTGCAGAAAATACGGAGGCATGGGATTGAGGGTGATTTAGCGGTTTGGATCAGAAATTGGCTAGCTGTAAGAAGACAGAGGGTGGTGGTTGATGGGAAATGTTCATCCTGGAGTTCAGTTACTAGTGGTGTACCTCAAGGATCTGTTTTGGGGCCACTGCTGTTTGTCATTTTTATAAATGACCTGAATGAGGGCGTAGAAGGATGGGTTAGTAAATTTGCGGATGACACCAAAGTCGGTGGAGTTGTGGATAGTGCAGAAGGATGTTGCAGGTTACAGAGGGACATACATAAGCTGCAGAGCTGGGCTGAGAGGTGGCAAATGGAGTTTAATGCAGAAAAGTGTGAGGTGATTCACTTTGGAAGGAGTAACAGGAATACAGAGTACTGGGCTAATGGTAAGATTCTTGGTAGTGTGGATGAGCAGAGAGATCTCGGTGTCCATGTGCATAGATTCCTGAAAGTTGCCACCCAGGTTGATAGGGTTGTTAAGAAGGCATACGGTGTGTTCGGTTTCATTGGTAGAGAGATTGAGTTTCGGAGCCAGGAGGTCATGTTGCAGCTGTACAAAACTCTGGTGCAGCCGCACTTGGAGTATTGCATACAGTTCTGGTCACCGCATTATAGGAAGGATGTGGAAGCATTGGGAAGGGTGCAGAGGAGATTTACCAGGATGTTGCCTGGTATGGAGGGAAGGTCTTATGAGGAAAGGCTGAGGGACTTGAGGCTGTTTTCGTTAGAGAGAAGAAGGTTAAGAGGTGACTTAATAGAGACATACAAGATGATCAGAGGATTAGATAGGGTGGACAGTGGGAGCCTTTTTCCTCGGATGGTGGTGGCTAGCACGAGGGGGTATAGCTTTAAATTGAGGGGTGATAGATATAGGACAGATGTCAGAGGTAGGTTCTTTACTCAGAGAGTAGTAAGGGCGTGGAATGCCCTGCCTGCAAAAGTAGTAGACTCGCCAACTTTAAGGGCATTTAAATGGTCATTGGATAAACATATGGATGATAATGGAATAGTTTAGGTTAGATGGGCTTCAGATTGGTTTCACAGGTCGGCGCAACATCGAGGGCCGAAGGGCCTGTACTGCGCTGTAATGTTCTATGTTCCGTGTTCTATGTCGGCATGCTCTATCTGCTGCCTGCCAAATTGCCACTAAAATCAACAATTAATCCAGGGGCAGTGGAAAGGACAGAGGGAAAGATTTCCACTTGCCAGCAACCCCTACTGGGCAGCATTGCTCACGTTGTATCTCAGAAAATCAGAGACACTTTGCCATGATCTGCCTTGCACTGGGAGTTGCTCAACATTGGGGTAACCAAGCTCTACCTAGGTGAGGATAACTAGATTACAAGTCTCAATTTATAGTGCTTTAAAGCAAAGAAAGTTGCAAATAAAATACACAGGTTTACGTTCAAAGCTTTTGGACTCATATTGCATTTAGATATAAGAATCAGTTACATTCTGATGTACAAATTAAATAACGTGGAAGTGTGGCTTTGCGCTGAGTTGTCTCAAACTCAATCACATTCTTTATACTTGCCCTGGGTTCTGACCTGAATTAGTTCAATCAGTCTGCAAAAAGATACACTAAACATTCTCCTTCTGCTCGCACTTGTTCATGAATCAGTCTCAAAAATCCTTCCAGTTATCTTACTGTCAAAATATCTTCATTTAACAAATGACTTTTGGAGAGCTGTGATTTCTTGTGTGGGAAAATAGAATCATAGAATCCCTACAGTGTGGAAACAGGCCCTTCGGCCCAACAAGTCCACACCGACCCTCAGAGCATCCCACTCAGACCCAACTGCCTATAACCCACCTAGTCTACTGAACACTACGGGC